AGTTCTAATTTGGTATATGTGGGAAACATCTTTTAAGTAGCAGTGACCTAAAAAGATAATTGACAGAAAAACTTATAGCACGTTTTGAAAGTTCGAAGATCAACTTAGAAAGACATTTTTAAGAACTACATCTAGAGCTGAAAGACAAGAATTTTAATACACACAAAAGCGGGGATATCGCATTTATCTCAAAAGTTCAAACTTTTAGATGTTTGAACAAATACAAACATATAGGACAAAATAACTTACGATAATAAAAATTAGGAACAGGTAACTCAACATATAATACAGAAAAATTACCAGTATACCAATATATAAATAAATATGAATAAATACACATATTCTTCAAGATTTCAAAAAGATAATATCACCCTATATTTACCGAGATCAATGGTTTAAATCTTAAATATTAAAATTCCTTTTTTTTCTCCTACTTTATTTTGAAATTAACCAGAGACGGCCGCATAAACACGTGAACAAAATAAGTATCATATTTTTCTAGTTGTTACCATTACATTCATTCGTGTATAGTAATTATTATCTTCTCTTTTTGATCATTACACTTTTATTAACCAGTTCATGTGTATGATAAAGATAGAAGTGAAAGCAAAAGAGAAAGTAATCAACGCAATGTCTATGAGAAGGAATATTTCATACAGAACAAGTAAACACTAATGTAGTGAAGGAGAACACAAGTGAATATAACCGATTATACTTAGCACAAAATTACAGTTATTTGATAAAATAGAAAAACCACACTTCATTTGCAAAATGTTTGTCTCAGATTTCATTGTTCCTGCATTTTCATACTAATTGCTTTCTGATCCCGTTTTTCCCTCCTCGATCTTCTCAACCTTCTGCTGCCAGACATTCTATCTCTGACTAACATTATATACCACTTATGTAGACATAAGTAGCGCACACCACACCAATACTACGGCTAATGATAATAATAGTAATAAGCGTTAGCATATTAATTTTATATGCCTTTTTAGTTGCACACATCCTGTAGCAGCAACATAATATTTATGGTCGTTAATTATATTAAATATCCTAGTATTGTGATGTTTTTGTTATATCATCATGTTCATTCATTGCTTATATTTCCTGACAAAATTAATACCTAAATTTAGATATGTGTATGATTGTACAGTTTGATAATAAATTCGTTAGAAAGAGACTCCTTCGATGGATTCCCATTTTTTTTTATTAAAAAAAATAGTTATATAAATAGGATAACCCTTCCGATCATTATACTATAAATTCATGAAAAGAATTATTCATCAATTGGTTGTCTGTTTAATACACAACACCTACATATTGAATATTAGCATTGCACATGTTCAATCAATCAATCTGATTAATAATGAAAGATAAGTTTACTAGTTGTCATCGTTTATTTATTCTGCCGTAAATGGTTTTTTTGTGTAATAGATCAAAATTAAGCAACAAAACAAATAAGAAAACAGAAGAAACATAATCATCAATATATGACATGTCGATCGATTGTTTAATAATAATAATAATTTTAGACACCCAACTGTGACTACCATACTGATGAATGTAGCGTAAGTAAGCATGTTACCAGTGGACATTACTATTGCCACTAATGTTATTTGTATCTATTATGACAAATAAAAAAAACATTTTATGAAATTCATCAATACAAACATGAATACTTAAATGTCTACTAATCTAATTATAATTTATAAATTTAAACTTCCCTAGTATAATTCTCTTAAAAGAATTATTTTATCCGGTTTTTAGGAATTAAATCCCCAATAAAGTAAACCAGAAAATTACTTCGATCAAAAATAAGAGATAAATAGAAAAATAAAAAATAATGAAGTTTTAGCTCCATGTTAATATTGAGCTAGTTTAACCAATCACGACATAGGACGGTCTTCGCGTTATATATCACGAATTGACTGGTGTTATCAATATGAGCCATTGAACTTCGGATTCGCCGGATTAAACGTGTCGTTAACACTGCAAAATACAAGTATCCTAGTTTTTATCTTGGATAGGGTTGTAGGTGTGTACTCCTAAGGAATCTTGGACTAGGACAAAACATTTTTCCAGTGTTCCATGGCTTTCAATGGTTCTCAAGATAATTTCATTATAATGTGAAAACAATTAGCTTGAAAGTGGGGTAGGAAAAACCCATTTTAGTCCATGAAAAAGACAGTAAAAAAGATGATAAATTCGTCATTAGGGAAAAACCACTATTCTATTCCTGGTTAACTTATACCCGAAACTAATAACATATTAAATTATTATGATAAATCAATCAAGGATAAACTATTTGTACAAGATAATAGAGATTAATGTGACCAAACCTATACAACAATACTTAATGTGGTTAAGGAACCAGAAATATACGCGCGGAATGAATACTTCAGATATAAACTAAGAATCCGAAAATGTTAATAATAAAATGTTATCTTTGAAGAATTCAAATATCATTCATCCTTCCACTTATTCTTTGATGCTGTATAGCTTATGGTTATACTATCGAGAGTTTATTTAGGGGATTTCAGGTTTACTCCGGTGATCTTAAAATAATACTAACCACAGTCAGACATGTAATATATCTTATACATATAAACCATGTTATTATCATCAATAGTACAAACCAAATATATGGGAAATGAATTGTATAAATAATGTAACAAACTAATCTAATTCAACCATCCACCCGGTTCACAGATCAAAACTAATCAAGGAAAAAATCAGTTCTTTAGATTGTTGTCTGCTTTGTCTAATCAAACTCCAAAACTATTTAGATTAATGTTTGTCTGCTAACATACACATGAATGAATACATACAACAGTTTTCAGGTTTTTTGTTGTATCGATTTTGTATAACTCTAATCGATATCAAGCTCAATAGCAGCTGAATGGTTGGATAAAATGAGTAAGGTTAGAAAATGTCTGAATCAGCACACAAACATACATACGAACACCTGAAGTGAATAGATCAGTGAATACACAATACACAAACAGCATTCATGATTTGGACAAGACCATGACAAAGTCCTTGTATTTTTGTTTATATGTTTATGCTGCCACACATTTTTGCTCTCACATGACTAAACTGACAAGTTAGTTAAATAGAATGACAGACGGGCAATGAATGGCGCCTATAGAGAACTCACGTCCATACGCATATACACAACCCAGTCCTGTCTTATATCAGTGGGGTGGGTTTAAAGTGAAAAATTGAGGGTGGATAAAGCAAAGTGGAATGTGATGTATAACACGTTAGTATATAAGTATGTTTGTCTGCATAGAAAAGACAACTTCATCCTGTTAAGGAAAGGATATTTCTGACCTAAATTAGTAGGGCAAGTAAAATTGAGGTGGTGGGACTACCATGAAAACAGCTGAGGAGTAATCAGTATTATAACAATTCAAGTCAGGCTATAAATCCCCTACTGTGCATGTTGGGTCGGGTCACATAAGAATTTACCCTACGGGAATTATATCCTGTCCAGATAAAAACAAATCGATTAATGTCAGTTTCTTTCGAAAATGCAAATCTATGGTGAGTTGAACTTCTCGGCTCATGCAAATGACCCATTAAATTTTCCAAAATGCTTTCAAAAAATTAAGAAACAGATACTACTGATGTTGAATAAGTAGTTAGAAGATACAAACCGAATCAGTATCAATCACTAGCTAAACGTCCGATCAAATAATTACATCAGCTAGAAACAGTATCAAACACTACTTTACTATCAGTATAATGATTGCGGAGGTTAAATATTGAAAGTTGCTTTAGTCAACTTATTAGGCAAGCTGGAAAATTCAACAAATACTACAAAACATTACCTGTTTAACAAAATATTTATTATTGAGTGATTAGAAAATATGAAGGACTACGCATTGAGATTTTAATGTTAACGGTAGGTGAAAGTTGATATAGAATATCTTAGATTGCTTTAATTGATAAGCAATGCTTATTACCTTTTAAATAAGTCAGACATATTTTGGCAAAATCTTACATACCGAAGCATAAGCAAAATGAGAACAAAGAATGACAAGCCTAGCACATATAACCGCCTTCAGTGAACAGTTCAATTTTTTTCAAAAAAGATTTACACAACGTCCTATTTATGATTGGCAAACTGAATCTATGCATTATTGCATGAGATTTTATACTGTTTTACACTCGTCAATTACGAACCTATTTATTCAATAATATTATGAAGCAAGATGGTACAAAGTGATAGATGAAAACAAGAATTATCAGAAGTATCTAAGATTGTATAGTGTGAGATGATTAATACAGTTTATGCATCAACCAATACGTCGTAAATTTGAACTACTCCAGGTTTACACCAGAGTAAATAATAATAAAGTGGCTCTCATAATGAAAACTGAAAACAAACTTGTATAGAACTACTAAACTATATAACTATCTTTATATGCATATATTGTCACATATGCTATGGAAGAGTAAAAGGATTATTACTCATTTCATCTGTATAGTGCACAGTTTTTTGCACCAAAGTTTTTAGATATATGAGGCTTTAGAATTTTTTAATTCTATTGGCGAAAAAAAAGAACCATGATGATGATAAGACTAAATTTAAAGTACAACAGTTGTTCAGTATTTTAGGATTTCTGATAATCCCATTTTTTGACATCAATTGTTAATGAAAAATACCTTGAATGATTTAGTTGGACAAATACTAAGGGCTAAGACATAATGAAAGTGGTTATTATCGAATGAAGAGTTAGTGTGAACAGTGCATATCCACGATCCCGCAGCCGGGAATTGAACCCAAAGCATTCAGTTCTGCGCGTGAATGCCTAGCCTCCAGACCACTAAGTGGGTGGCTCAACGGTGTACAGGTCTTACTTCGATCATTTCATTATAGTGGGAGACCATCTTTCACTGTCTTCTTGAAGTAACTTCTTCAGATCGCCACAACCCTATTTCAACTATTATTATTATTAATTTATAAGTAAATGTGTGAATAAAAAAATAATTACCTAGACCATGTGCATAGGCTGTTGCAGCTGCTTCAGATAAAAGTCGACGTGTTGTTAACTCTTGAACTGGTGGTCTAATAATCGACTGTTGCTGTTGTTGATGATGATGATGCTGATGGTGATGCTGATTCTGATAAAGTTCTTGAAGACTAGATCGTACTGAAATAGATGGAGATGCACATGATGTGATAAAGGAATGAGTTAATGACGATGACGAGGTAGAAGTTGGATTATTCGTATAATTATGACGTCCTATTAATTCAAGTTGATTGTCTGCATTATCATTATTACTGCTAGTATTACAACGTGATAAGTGGTGATAAGCGGCGGCAGCAGCCGCAGATGAGTAATTATTCAGATTACCAAATGCACTTGAATTCTAAGTAGGAAATAAAAGAGAAAAAAACAAACATTAGAGTTAAAGGAACGACTTGTTATAACAATACGAAAGTGGTCCATGCAAAACTATGTGAAATCTTTCAAATTATACGTTCATGTTCAAAGACCACAACACTTCTTTAAATTGGTAGTTATATGGAAGTCAAATAGTTTACTATAACAATTGTTTCATTATGAACTGGGATCTACTGAATAGTCGAAAAAATTATCAAGCCATATATTGGGAACTACTCAAGATGAACACTCATGACCGCTTTGGATATCTGACTGTAATTATACCAATAAGATTGAAGTCAGATGTTGTTCATATAAGTATATCAAGTTAAGAATGAAGACATCTTAGATTATCAGATTGGAAGTGAAAAAAGACAACAGAAAAATATCTGCGCATAATTCCAAATAGCGATGAATCAATTGAAATCAACTTTCTTTGAAGCACTTCCCACATCCAGACATCTGAAGTTCTAACCAAAAATATAAGCACTAGCCTTTCAGAAAGACCTTGATCAAAAACATTTAGAGAGCAAATCTATTTTATATCGTTTATATTTATATTTATTCGGCATATGATGGTATTTAGTCGAGTGATTTCTAGCATTAGTGACACACTGAAAACAGGAGTTGACCAAGAGGAGTATGGTGGGATAGGGGGGAAGTGATATTAGCTGAGGTGATTTGTTTTCTCTCTTTGTACGTACACAAAAAAGAATTTATCAGGTCGTCTGATCTTAATTTTATATATATGCGCAAACAGGTATATATATATATATGGGTGCATACTGCAGGAAGATTTTGTACTAGATGCAAGACTCTTCTGAGCGAAAATAAATTCGAATTCACCCCTGCATTGTCTGCTGACAGATCTGCGGATTTAAAGAGTAAATATACCATGTTAAGTGTGATACAATGTAAAATGTGAAACTAACAACCAGGACATCCGTTTCTATATCTTAGATGAGTGGATGACAAGAGACAGATAGAGCGGTGAAACCGTAAATTCATATTATCGGAAACAATTAGAAGTTTCATCAAGAGAGCAATCATGATATTTAGAATTTTTAAAATAAATTTACTCAAATTCATTAATTAGCTTTTTTAATATTCATTTTCGTTTCATTATCATTGAACAATAAGAATCAATAATTATCATTTTCATTACTTAAATTCAACATAGTTTATGACATCTACTTTGGTTCCATTGTCCTAAATAAAACAGATTATCAACAAAAATCATACTAATAAAAGAGTTGTAGTTTGATCACGTCAACTGAGTATAATTATTAAACAAACCAGACATTTTTATTCAAGCTTAATATTCCTTTCTGTTTAAATGAACAAATCAACCCCATATACTTAAGCGTATAAGATGTCAAATATCTTCACAAAAACTTAAGGACAAACTTATCATGTGATAAGTGACGTTGACAAAGTACGGTAGACAGTCATGATAGTCTGAGAAAAAATCTACTGATTTCATAAATATTCCAGTTTTGTAAATGTTAACATGCACACAAGTACACAGATGAACACTCATTAATTCAACTATATCCAATTATAAAGATGAACAGTGGTGAATAAAGCGATGAAGTCCACGTGCTTTTTGGTGATTAGTGATACATTTTGACTGTGTTACATATAGACAAAATAACTAAGTACACTAATTAATACATTTTATATCATCACATTCGACTGTATTAGATCTGTGTCAACAATGAAAATCTCCCTTCTTTTTGCTAAAAATCATATTTTGTATAAATATACTATCATTAACTCATTTTTGGAGCACAGATTTGTATAATTGACTTTGAGATACACTCAAAGTTTGAGGGTTAACGAAACTACCCAGGTGCTTAAACCGAAATAGGTGGAGCAGTGTTTGAACCTGAGACAGAAAGTCAACTGATTTAACCATCGCAACACTTTCATCAGGGGTCATTTCCATCATGGGTTGCATAGGAAACTGAGGAGTACTGAACAGATGCTTCGTCCACCCAAGGCACTCCTAGACAGTACACGCCCATTACTCGATCAAGTATTGAACCTAGGATCTACATGCCTTCAGACTAACCCTTAACATTTAGACAACCGATTTATAATCCACTGGTCTACCTTTTCGAACTCAACCAATTCAGAACGTGGACGTTTTAGATTTGAATACTGATGGTTGTCTTGTAAGAGCACTGATAAAGAACCTTATACTACAGCAAAGCAGATCCCAAGTTCACCCTGGGTTTTAATGATGACTCAGAGTTTGTCTAGTGAAGAGAGCCACTTACAAATATGTTATTTCTCATATCAATCACCAGACTTCGCCATCTTAAAAAATAACACGAAAGTGGACAGTTGTATTTCACCCTTCAAGTCAACTTCATTAGTAGTTGAGTGCTCAGAAAGATGAATCACCCAGTAAGTCAACCATGTTTAGGACAAAACTTACCGTGAATATATATGGGTCTAGCTTGTTGCACTTCATATCAAAACAATGAGAGAAACTTAACAAGATACATGACAAAAGAGAGGGAATAACAATAAAAACCACAATGAAATCTTCACAAGATAAATACAGTCCAAAATTTAGGAAGATAAAGTAATGAGAAATTAGGAATGACGATTATTTCATAATTTAGAGGAAGAAGGGGAAATAAATGAAACTACATCACTTTGAGTGGTTCTGAACCATATCACCAAAGGTCTTTAACCATAGACTAAGTTTGTTGCACAGACGCCCATCTGAAAGTCGACATATACCAATATGATACAATCCAGCAGTCGACGAATTCAAGAATCAGTGATGTCATAGACTTTTCCCCGTGTCTCCTTCCAAGTCAGAACTGAACGTCGGAGTGGAAGGTACTTAAACATGTGTAACAAACATTCCAATCAAATCAGTAAATAAAGGCTTGTAGTCTCATTAATCTACTTGCCGTTTTTACCTAGTACCCTACTCATGGCCTCAACACTGCCCACTCGGAGGTTCAAGTATCTGAGAACAATATTTGGAATATATGTAAGATAAATAAAAAGTGTTTCCTACTTTTTGGGTTTGTTTTAGAGCCGTGAAGCAATACAGTGTGCCTCAAAGATGAGCACATAAACAATCAAAATCAAAAGATTGGACCAGTGAGCAATATAATCGACTCTTGAATTCCAAACAGGTCGGTGGGCCTCCCCGCCTGTTTTATTTATTTGGTTAAACAAGAGGGCACACTTCACCATTCGATTTGTGTGAGGGCTAGGATACTGCCCAGACGCCCAAACCAAAGCAGGTGGCCTTCTTAGAGAGCTACTCCCCGAACCTATGACCTAAAGGTCTAATCCACTAGACAGTGGAGCAACGTTAGGAGATGCAGTCCTATGGTAGCCACTGACCAACAGTGGCTTCATACACCATTTGTTCACTCAAGATGCTGTAGCCCATGTGCACCATTGGGTTTGGAATCAGAATTTTCCAACTTCCATAGGTGGGTCATCCACATCCGTTAACCAGGTTCGCTTTGATAAAAGCCATGAAAGCTACTTATATTTGTGCCTAGCTACCAACCCACCAAAGCTCATGAGACTTCGCTTTAAATATTATGTGATATGATTTGTGTAAACCAGTTAATTGATTTACTATTTAGTACATTATTTAGATAACTAAGCAATTCATCAAAACTTAACAGTAATTACGAATATTTCCATTTGAGTCATTCATAGAATATTTATATGGTTGTGAAAAAATGTTTGCCAAAGATATCCCAATATATGGCCCATTGATTACTTTACAAATGAAGGGAAGGAGAGCTTAATTACTTCGAATATATCGTTTATTGTAATGAGAAAGACTGGATTATATACGATAAATAAATAAGGAAAACTTGAAATGGTGGAATCATAATGGAAGTCTCCATTTCACGTTCGAAATGGAATGATAAAACTAGCATCTTGTTCATCCACACAAACCTACTACCATATATAAGGAATGTGATAGTGAAAAAAAGAGCTAACAATAATGTTAACCGTAGGTGTCATTACCAAGGTTTGATTTGATAATTTCGAATTATTTATAATAATGTTAACCATTTATTTATCAAGTATTAGTAAATGGTGGTATGATACCACTAATTATAGTCATTTGTAAAGTCGTGACAGCTTCTCAATGAAAGCTAAGGTTAAGCGAAAAACGTTCTTTCACGATTAGAGTAGATATGATAAAATCCTATAAAATCATTTTCCTATTAAAGGACGTAGCAAGTCAACTGAACTACGTGTATGTAGATAACCAGTTTACTTCTTATTTTAGCTTGAGTGGAATAGATGTGTGAGAAAAACAACGGTCAAAATGAAATTTGATACGAACCCATGGAGTCTGGTGTCCACGATATAGGCCTGAAAGATAATGAAAGCCGGAAGATGAATATTTTCAGTAAAATATTCAAACTGAATTTCGAATAACGTTATGATTTTTACTTTTCACCATCTCGCTTAATCCTTGAAGTTTAAAACTAGGATAACAGAACCAACAAATTATATATATTGATTAGGTACAGTTATAGGATAATCTCACGACAATAGGTGTAAGCACAATGCATAAAAACAGAAATAATGAATGACATATAATATATTAAAACGAAAACAAGTAACTTCACACTGACACACAGTTACGCATAAATATAAATAAACTGAGTCAATTTGTATTAATAATTTTTAGAAAATTAGAATTGGAGTTAAGAGACATAAATTAAACAAATAATTTAAAACTGATTAACCGGGTGATTTTGTATAATTTGAATGTGTTATGCATCAAGAACTCGCTTTAGACAGAAGAGTGCGGAAAACCAAAGACCACTAAACGAGTTTCTAGCTTTAACATGAGATTCATCAGATGCTCCCACCTACAACTCAAACGAAAACAAACAGGAAATTTGTGGCTTACACGAGACCTTCAAACGGCAAAATCGTAACCCAATGTTCTACACCTTAAACTCTTTTCAACTAAGT